TAGAGCAGGAATTTTTTGACCAAGGGTATGTTTACCCAGGGAGTAATAAAAATATATACATGACATCCTCGATGCGATGGATCTTAGCAGACAGCATGCGATTTTCCAACTAATAATGTTGGATGCTTTTTTAAAAAATCTTTTCTTAAACCGAGTTATCAACTATATATTATATTTCTTAATCAAAACATTCTTTGCAAAATAAAGGTGCTTTCTTGTTATGTGTCTACATTAGATATTCTTGTTTTACATGGTATTAAAGGGTATATGACGAGCAACATACAGTCGAGGAGGTAAGTTATAGAGAAAGAGTTGAAAATCACAGTCATAAAGGGGAAAAAGCCAAAACCGAAGCAATATTTTCTAAATGACAAGTAAAACGCATTCATTTGGGAGAACATAAATATTCGCATTACCTCATAATAAGGGAGGGAAAAGCTTCTTTTTCATAACTCAGTGAAAGCAAAATGCTCTTTTCTTCAAATACAAGGGTGATTGAAGTATATGTATATGAACTGAGCAGTTTTTTCAGACCTGGGAAGTATATGGTAAGTGTTAAAATGTTATGGCATAGCTATCATCTTTAACAAAAAAGTCAGTTTGTTCTAAAGTCTTATTTATCTAAAGATGCCTTCCTAAACTCTGGCAATGCTCCAGGCAATATCCAGATAACGTACGACCACAGACCGGTGTCAGGGAATACCCCTACTTGTCACGAGCTAATGACTTCACCAACATACTAAGACCATTAATGGACGGGCGAAGTGAGGAAGAGGCGAACAATAGAGCGACACCATAGAAGTACTTTTCTCGTCTCCTTTCGTGAAGAACTGCATAGTTAATGAATATCTACCATGGAAATCGCACCCCTTCAATCATTTGACCAAGCTAAACCCCCATGTTCTAGATAGCTAGGAAGTTTTAGAAATGCTCGCCTCGGTTGTTGATCCTAGTAGCACATCCTTCTACATACCTGCTCGTTTCCGCTAGCTCACGGCCTGTTCTCCCTATCAAACATGCCATATCTTGTTGGCGAGGCCTCACCCTTCTCCTAAATCTGCTCCTCCTCCCCTCTCCCCTCGACTAAACGCGATGCTGTATTTACCGCGAGGATGTAAAAATGGTGATTATAATCATAATTGGAGCTATAACATAACTTCACACAACACTAAATATGTATTGACATTGATTGACTTATTGGTGATGCTTATAGCCATATCCAGCTTGGAGGTTCCTTGCGAAGAAAACATAAAAAATGTATAAAAGAAAACTTGAAAACAGTAATATGTCTTTCATTAGTAGTATAAAATAGATAATTACTCGTATGACTGCAATACACAATCAACATATTACAAACATTTGCCGCGATAATTTGTCATAATTTGTAATTCCATCATTCATTCAAGTTTTGCTTTTCACTTTCCTCGTAATTATTTTCTTTTCCTATTTGCAGACAGATAGACAATGATAGCAGGACACGATTTGCTGTCTTCCGGACATGGCACTTCTGTCGGAAGGAGCCTTCAGATTCTGATAGAGGCTTATAAATACCAACAACCGCATCCGAGTCATTACATGCTTATATTTTATCAAATTTTCTTGTGTAAAAGTGTAATTCTTATTCTTAAAAGGCAAATAATGCTTACCGATGGTATCAATATTTTTTGCATAAAAGTACCACCTAACCTTGTTATATGAAGAATAAACAAAATACCAAAAACTATTAACATATTTTGTCTTAGAAAAAAAAAATCATTAATCGATTGATTGATTATTTAAAATTATCTGCCCCGCCTACGGCAAAAAGCACTAGTGGCGAATACCATGTAAAATGTTAAAATACTGAAAGGTTCTATATATATATATATATAGGCGGCGGTGGCAGGGGGGGCGCCTTTGACGACGACGCCTAGGTAGGGGAGGGAGGGGGAGTAAACTTGTATAAAAGTCATCATCTCCTTCCTTATATTCCATATTTTGCCTCTGTATAGTATTTTACAAGGTCCTTTTTATCTAATATACAAGATATTTTTATCCCTTTTTTCTTGATATCAAGCGGATATATATATATATATATATATATATATATATATATATATATATATATTATAACCTTTATAAAAAAAAAATATTGAGATTGTTGGCAGGCAAGGTTTATAAGTGTCATTTTAAAAATATTTACACGACTTTACGTAGGGAAAAATTGAGCCATCAGTGGATCCGTCAGTTGAGCCATCAGTGGCTCCGTCAGTTGAGCCATCAGTTGATCCGTCTGTTGAGCCATCAGTGGATCCGTCAGTTGAGCCATCAGTTGATCCGTCAGTTGAGCCATCGGTGGATCCGTCAGTTGAGCCATCGGTGGATCCGTCAGTTGAGCCATCATTTGATCCGTCAGTTGAGCCATCAGTGGATCCGTCAGTTGAGCCATCATCTGAAGCAAAAATTGTTAAATATATCTGTATATATCTGTATATATATATATATATATATATATATATATATATATATATATATCAGTATATATATATATATGTATATATATATCTGTATATATATATATATATATATATATATATATATATATATATATATATATCTGTCTATATATATAATATGTGTGTGTGTGTCTTGTGACTTATCCCAGAATTGTGAATCATTATTAATTAATTATCTTTGCATTATATAAATTCATACATATACCTGGTGATCCAGAAGTGGATGGGCCTCCAGTTGATAGTTCTGAACTTGTTTGTCCTGTACTTGCTGAGCCTGTAGTTGATATTGATGTTTTCCCATTTGTAGTGACTGGTTCCTCATTTAGACCATCAACTACTATTTCCCGATATCAGTTTGCTGGAATACTGCCTCTACTATTACAAAGACCTGTATAAGTACTCTTTGTGCACCCACACATATTGTGAAAGTGATAGAGATGAAAACTCTTAACTGGATTCTGACCTTTCTTCTACCCGGTGGCAGGATTGCTATCTTATCGCGGATTACTTTCAATTCCTGGTTCTTAGCCGTCATATTATTTAACACCTCGTCATACTCATCAGCTGGGCAGGATACCGATGAATCAAGGTTTGCTGTGGTTCCATTGACCAACAATGTTAATTCTTGTGTTTTGTTAAAAAGCACCTGAAGTTCGGTTAATACGTTGCTAAGTTCATTACCTCGAGAAGGGTCCAAGTCTGGGTTGGATGTTTCGAAAATATCAGTTGTTATTCATTACTTCCCCACCTTCGGCCAGAGACAGATTGAGTCGTTTTTCCAAATCAAGGAGCCTATTGCGGCAGGATCTCCCCAACACTGTAGAGAGAAGAAAAGTATCATATAAGTGTACTGATATCGTAGCTATGTCCATATTTACATAATAACTCTTACAAGCCAACAATCTTTACATATATAGTGTACAAGCAAAATTAAAATGTATTTGTATGCTAGCCCAGATAACCTTGAGCTAATGAATACATTTAATTTCCTTTCTTTATAACTATCAAACCTAAGAAAATATCTACACGCCAGATAAAAGGCTTCCAATTTTCAATGACGTGGGAAGTTGGAAACTCCTGATCCAGACATATTATCTCGTTACAGTTATTGTGTATTTGACCTAAGCTTATAAGAATAGATATAGCAGCATTCAAATATATCCACTCTCTCTCTCTCTCTCTCTCTCTCTCTCTCTCTATATATATATATATATATATATATATATATATATATTCCAAATGAAAAGGAACCATCCATCTGAATATCTAATCTATAATGGCCATAAAATAATTCAATAAAGAAAATCTTACTCAAAGAACATAGGGGTGTTTCAATGAAACTGCTTTCACTTACAAGCATTACTTTCAGTGGTTCCTGTGGTTGATCCTGCGGTAGTTGGACCTGCTGTTGTTGATCCTGTCGTTTTGGTCCTGCTGTTGATCCTGTCGTTTTTGGCCCTGCTGTTGATCCTGTCGTTTTTGGTCCTGCTGTTGATCCTGTCGTTTTTGGTCCTGCTGTTGATCCTGTCGTTTTTGGCCCTGCTGTTGATCCTGTCGTTTTTGGTCCTGCTGTTGATCCTGTCGTTTTTGGTCCTGCTGTTGATCCTGTCGTTTTTGGTCCTGCTGTTGATCCTGTCGTTTTTGGTCCTGCTGTTGATCCTGTCGTTTTTGGTCCTGCTGTTGATCCTGTCGTTTTTGGTCCTGCTGTTGATCCTGTCGTTTTTGGTCCTGCTGTTGTTGATCCTGTCGTTTTTGGTCCTGTTTTTGATGGGACAGATTTAAGATGAAATATTTGATTTTAATTCAAGAGCAATAGTAAACAAAAGAAAACCTTCACAGTTCATACATATACCTGGTGATCCAGAAGTGGATGGCCTTCCAGTTGATAGTTCTGAACTTGTTTGTCCTGTACTTGCTGAGCCTGTAGTTAATGTTTTCACAGTTGTTGTAGGAACTGGTTCCTCATTTAGACCATCAACTACTATTACCCCGTTATTGATTTGCTGGAATACTGCCTCTACTATTACAAAGACCTCTATAAGTATTCATTGTGCACCCACACATATTGTGAAAGTGATAGCGATGAAAACTCTTAACTGGATTCTGACCCTTCTTCTTATCTTATCGCGGTTTGCTGTGGTTCCATTGACCAACAATGTTAAGATTTTTAGATAGTATACAACCAGTGACTTTTCATGAAAGTCTATTAGTTCTTTAGTGCCGCAGATACAATCCACACCAGGGCTGTATAGGAGAAAAACAAAGACGTTTCACTCAGAAAGGGGCGGTGCGGTGTCACCGCGCCCAGATCAAACGCGACATTATTGTGTGACTGCGGGAAAGCTGCCGCACTTTTCACTCTAACCAATCTGAACAAACGCACCAAAAACCTCATGAAGCAATTAAAAAAAAATAATAAAATGAAACTTGAGATGAAATAGTTCGTACTATCACAAGTTTCGTAAACCTAGCAGTCGATACAACCGGCAACCCGTCAGTTTTGAAATGGCAGTTCGATTATTTCCCAGGGTGCGCGGGCAACTATCGCGCGCAGGTGACAGATGGTGAGGCATTATTTCAACATGCACAAACACGCGACAGTAGCTACCCATTTATATTTACCCAGAAAGTTTATAGGTATTTACCTTATTTTACAGCTGAAGGAACGGCCTGTGTCTTTGTTATCTCTTGTTAGAATGAATGTTTGTCTTCGTGGTCCAGTATTTTTCCGGATTTCTCGGTCAATACTTTGAATTAACGCATAGTAGTTTTGCTGGATGAGAGTAGTTAATCACAGGAGATTGAATTAGAGCTCTGAAACATGCCCAAGTATTGGTTGCGTATGCCTGAGTGTTATGCGGCGAGCGCGCCACATTCTTGTGAGGAAGCGAGAGGGAGTGGGAGGGGGAAGGGGTATCCATTAGTAATTTGAAGTGGGGGGTTAGTGAGGAGAAGAGGCTTATAACAAATATGCATCCTTTTGACTAGTCCTAGCTAACAGATTTAGATAATTGAAAATCCTCACAACACAATAAAATAAATATGTTTAATCGAATTTATATTTCTTTGAATGAGATCATAAGTCACTTATCATAGTGCAAAATGTAGGACAAGAAAGAGAAAGTCAGCAAGCAAAATCATGCTTGTAGCGAATCAATGATACTAATGGCTGAATTAATTATTCCCTCGCCTTAAAAATACTAGGCACAAGCTCACTGAAGCTCCTGTAAGACGCTCAGGTGAGCCGCGAAGTAAACGGCGGCCAGGTGAAACGTCAGCGCGGAGTGAGGCCCCGGCGCTGACAGGCAACAAACGTCCTGCTCAGCCTTTTTGCGTTTATTCCCTGGGTTTCATCTTTGCTTACGAGAAGTTTATATATATATATATATATATATATATATATATATATATATATATATATATATATATATTCACAATCCCATGCTCATATATATATATTCACAATCCCTTGCTCATATATATATATATATATATATATATATATATATATATATATATATATATATATATTCACAATCCCTTGGTCATTGTTTCCGTGGAGGGCTTAGGAGGCGGAGACTGAGGCCCAGTGTAAGGACCACACCTGCCTTGGACCTCAGCCCTTGCCTCGACTAATGCATGAACTTTTCTTCTCCCTCTAACTTTTCTTTTCCTTCTTCATCCTCTTCTGTCCATTTACTCGTAAACTCATATTATGCCTTTTCGCTACAATACTTTTCCCTAATGCTGTGTATCCTTTGATGTCTGGTACATTTGTTTGTTTTGAAAAAAAAATGGAGGCTTTGCCACAAGGCCCACCCTATCGCTATATTTTGTATACAAAATAACGTTAGGAAAGGAGGAAAAGAAAAATGTATATGTATGTATAGATACATAAATATGTATGTACATACAAGCCTATATATACATATATGTATATATGTATAAATATATGTATATGTATGTGTTTATATTATGTATATGTATATATATGTAGGTATATGTATTTCTATATATGTATATAGGTATAAATAAGTATGTATATATCCATATACGTCTATATTATGTATAGAGATATATACACACGAATGTTTAAATATACATATATACATAAAATATATATAATATGTATATATATATATAGAGAGAGAGAAAGATTAATTTATTCAAAGGAAGGTTGAAATTAAGAAACGAAACCTGCGGATATTAATTTATTCACACAATATTTGAAAATGTATATTTGATGTACAGTATACATCACTTAATTTTCACAGTTTCTTGGTTTTCTTAACCAATTAGTGAAGGGAGCTCAGCAAAGCTCTCTTTTTTATGTGTGCATGGATAATAGGTTTCATGTGATGGGATAAGACAATATTTTGCGCCCATTACTTTGGGAGCTGAACCAACGGTGGAACCTACACCTTTACAGGCCATCAGTTGACTAAGTTGAACTGTCACTTCAGGCAGTTGATCCGTCAGTGGATCCGTCAGTTGAGCCATCAGTTGATCCGTCAGTTGAGCCATCAGTTGATCCGTCAGTTGAGCCATCAGTTGAGCCATCAGTTGATCCGTCAGTTGATCCGTCAGTTGAGCCATCAGTTGATCCGTCAGTTGAGCCATCAGTTGAGCCATCAGTGGATCCGTCAGTTGAGCCATCAGTTGATCCGTCAGTTGAGCCATCAGTTGATCCGTCAGTTGAGCCATCAGTTGATCCGTCAGTTGAGCCATCAGTTGATCCGTCAGTTGAGCCATCAGTTGATCCGTCAGTTGAGCCATCAGTTGATCCGTCAGTTGAACCATCAGTTGATCCGTCAGTTGATCCGTCAGTTGAGCCATCAGTTGATCCGTCAGTTGAGCCATCAGTTGATCCGTCAGTTGAGCCATCAGTTGATCCGTCAGTTGAGCCATCAGTTGATCCGTCAGTTGAGCCATCAGTTGATCCGTCAGTTGAGCCATCAGTTGAGCCGTCAGTTGAGCCATCAGTTGATCCGTCAGTTGATCCGTCAGTTGAGCCATCAGTGGATCCGTCAGTTGAGCCATCAGTTGATCCGTCAGTTGATCCGTCAGTTGAGCCATCAGTTGATCCGTCAGTTGATCCGTCAGTTGAGCCATCAGTTGATCCGTCAGTTGAGCCATCAGTTGATCCGTCAGTTGAGCCATCAGTTGATCCGTCAGTTGAGCCATCAGTTGATCCGTCAGTTGAGCCATCAGTTGATCCGTCAGTTGAGCCATCAGTTGATCCGTCAGTTAGCCATCAGTTTCAGTTGATCCGTCAGTTGAGCCATCAGTTGATCCGTCAGTTGAGCCATCAGTTGATCCGTCAGTTGAGCCATCAGTTGATCCGTCAGATGAGCCATCAGTTAATCCGTCAGTTGATCCGTCAGTCGAGCCATCAGTTGATCCGTCAGTTGAGCCATCAGTTGATCCGTCAGTTGAGCCATCAGTTGATCCGTCAGTTGAGCCATCAGTTGAGCCATCAGTTGATCCGTCAGTTGATCCGTCAGTTGAGCCATCAGTTGATCCGTCAGTTAGCATGCCATCAGTTGATCCGTCAGTTTTCAGTTGAGCCATCAGTTGATCCGTCAGTTGATCCATCAGTTGATCCGTCAGTTGATCCGATCAGTTGAGCCATCAGTTGATCCGTCAGTTGAGCCATCAGTTGATCCGTCAGTTGAGCCATCAGTTGATCCGTCAGTTGAGCCATCAGTTGATCCGTCAGTTGAGCCATCAGTTGATCCGTCAGTTGAGCCATCAGTTGATCCGTCAGTTGATCCGTCAGTTGAGCCATCAGTTGATCCGTCAGTTGAGCCATCAGTTGATCCGTCAGTTGAGCCATCAGTTGATCCGTCAGTTGAGCCGTCAGTTGAGCCATCAGTGGATCCGTCAGTTGAGCCATCAGTGGATCCGTCAGTTGATCCGTCAGTTGAGCCATCAGTTGATCCGTCAGTTGAGCCATCAGTTGATCCGTCAGTTGAGCCATCAGTTGAGCCGTCAGTTGAGTCATCAGTTGATCCGTCAGTTGAGCCATCAGTTGATCCGTCAGTTGAACCATCAGTTAATCCGTCAGTTGAGCCATCAGTTGATCCGTCAGTTGAGCCATCAGTTGAGCCATCAGTTGATCCGTCAGTTGATCCGTCAGTTGAGCCATCAGTTGAGCCGTCAGTTGAGCCATCAGTGGATCCGTCAGTTGAGCCATCATCTGAAGCAAAAATTGTTAAATATATCTGTATATATCTGTATATATATATATATATATATATATATATATATATATATATATATATATATATATCAGTATATATATATATATGTATATATACATATCTGTATATATATATATATATATATATATATATATATATATATATATATATATTTGTCTATATATAATATGTGTGTGTGTGTCTTGTGACTTATCCCAGAATTGTGAATCATTATTGATTAATTATCTTTGCATTATATAAATTCATACATATACCTGGTGATCCAGAAGTGGATGGGCCTCCAGTTGATAGTTCTGAACTTGTTTGTCCTGTACTTGCTGAGCCTGTAGTTAATGTTTTCACAGTTGTTGTAGAAACTGGTTTCTCATTTAGACCATCAACTACTATTACCCCGTAATTAATTTGCTGGAATACTACCTCTACTATTACAAAGACCCGTATAAGTACTCTTTGTGCACCCACACATATTCTGAAAGTGATAGAGATGAAAACTTTTAACCGGATGCTGACCCTTCTTCTACCCGGTGGCAGGATTGCTATCTTATCGCGGATCACTTTCAATTCCTGGTTCTTAACTGTCATATTATTAAACACCTCGTCATACTCATCAGCTGGGCAGGATACTGATGAATCAAGGTTTGCTGTGGTTCCATTGACCAACAATGTTAATTCTTGTGTTTTGTTAAAAAGCACCTGAAGGTCGGTTAATACGTTGGAAAGTTCATTATCTAGAGAAGACTCCAAGTCTGGGTTGGATGTATCGAAAATATCTGTTATGTCATTCATTGCTTCCCCACCTTCGGCCAGAGACAGATTGAGTCGTTTTTCCAAATCAAGGAGCCTATTGCGGCAGGATCTCCCCAACACTGTAGAGAGAAGAAAAGTATCATATAAGTGTACTGATGTCATAGTTATTTCCATATTTACATAATTTACAGTTAATTATCTCTCCTTATAATTATCAAACTGTTTTCTCTGAATCAAAGAAAATATTTACAATTTCCAATGACGTGGATCCAGACAGGTTTTCTCGTTATAGTTATTGTGTATTTCAAGAAAGCTTGTAAAAAAATATATAGCGAACGTTCAAATATATCAATATTTATCTCTCTCACTCTCTCTTGTTCAATAAAGTAAAGCTTATTCTAAGAACATAGGTGTGTTTTAGTGAACTTGTTTATGCTTACAGGGATTACGTATAATGGATGTAGTGGCAGGTTCTGCGGTAGTTGGACCTGTGGTTGTTGGTCCTTTCGTGTTTGGTCCGGCTGTTGTTGGTCC